TTGGTTAAGACATGGCTGTGCAACTCTATGCAGCCACATATCAGCTGGAACTATTTGTGGGCAAAAACAGCCAAGGAAATCTGGGATGTCATGAAAGAGACTTACTCCCAACCCCTTAATGTTGCTAGGGCCTATGAATTGAAGTGTGAGGTTAATAACCATAAGCAAGAGAGAAACTAGTCTCCGTTTATTTCTCTACTTTGAAATCTTTGTGGCATGAAATTGACCACCTAGAAACACTTAGAGTGGGAAAGTCAGAAGGATGCAGACTCAGAGAAAGCAAGTTGAAACTAATAGGGTTTTTGAATTCCTAGCTGGTCTGAATCCTGACTATGATATTGTGAGACAGCAAATACTAACAAGGGACAGTGTTACCTTATCTCAAGCCTACTCCTTGGTGCATAGTGAAGAGAGTAACTCCAGTCACTAGACTTTCGTCTCTTTCTCCTTCCTCCTGTTGTACCTCTCAGGTTGGGTTTCTCTAGAGTTGTAGCCATCATCTTTTGCCTTGGCTTCTACTCCAGGTTAGAAGCTTTCTGAGACGAAGTGGCTGAAGTTGTATCTTTTTGATCTTTTTTCTCCCAAGTGATGCTGCTTCACCGTTTCTCCCATCGCTGCATGATTTCCTGTTCCAGGGAAAGAAGATGATGATGAACCAGAACTAAGGTCTGCTGGTCGAGTAATCAAACCACCTAAATGGTTCAAGCAAAGGTTGGTTCACTTTGGGTTCTCCATGTCAGGCCTCCAGTCACGCAAGAATTTAAAACGCCACATCATGTCAGCCTTTGCCAATAGTCACTTGATTCGGTCGAGCCCCCATGCCATTTGTCCCTTCTGACACTACTCTAGCATAAGATTTGCTCCCAACAGTTGGATTCTTCTCCAAGTTTCCTTTAATAGGCTGAAACTGTTGCTCTCTCCCTTCCAAAGTTGAGTGGCTGCTTGCTTTCCTCTTTACAGCCTTTAGTTTGAATTAATTCCTTTCTTTGTAACATCTTGCCTTCCTTTCTTCTCGATGGCTCTTCCATTTCCTTCGCATTAATTTTTACTCCACATCACCTTTGCCCTCCACTTCTTCCTTGCCACATGGTACCTGCTAAGCCAGGTCAGCTTCATCTTCTACCTTCTTCCCACAGTTTCAGATTACTACTTCCGCTTCAGTTGCTACCCACATTTTGTGCCACACTCCATCAATGAAGAGATCAATTGAATGGGGAATGTCTTCTGGCTTTGCACCTGCGATTCTTATTCTTGCTGCATGAAGGTCTACTATATGTTCATAGCTTCTTCCAAGACCCCTCACACAGGCTATCAAAATCTTCTCCCATATGGGTTCTAGCCGCAGATTGAAAAGGATGCCTAAAATCTTTAGAATGAAGCTTCCCTCCTTTGCGCTCTTTTCATTGCAAGCAGGGCACCAGTTTTCAATCATAGCTATGCCCTCACTAATCTCCACTCTGCAGATGTTAAGATTTATGCTTCCTGTTTCTAGGATGGCTTTATTTGACTCAAAAGGCTTAAGTAGTAACAAGTCTTTTATGCCTAGTGTCTTTGCAATAGCATTCAGGATCTCCGTCCAGTCTTTCACTTTGTTCTTCAACGAAACTACCATTTTTTTCTCCCAACCTTCATTCCCACCACTTACAGCAATCCTTGGAACTATCGTAAGGCAGACCAAAGGTATCCTCTGATCTGGCCTATCTTCCTTTGTTTCTTCTGTTTTTTGCCTAGTTACCTCAGTGCTTTCCTTTGGGCTTTCTCCTTCTGCCTTGAGTTCAGATTCTTTAGTTGCAAACAGCCTGCTTGTGTACTCCTGTAGCAGTCCTTCTAGGACTTTCCAGCCTGAGCTATCCCTCCCTTCTGGTATACAAATTACCTGTCTTTGTCCTCGACCATTTGTTCCATTAGCATCAGAAACCAGCCCTTTAAGTTTCTTCTTTGTTCCACCTGATAGACTTTCTTCTATCTTCAGAGTGCTTTTCCATCCTGGACATTTCACTAACTGGATTGCTCCATCTACAAAGCCTTGGAACCAGCTTAATGCATTAGTCTCCAGGAACACAGTTGCTCTTCTTCCTTTTCTAATCTTGCGGGAGTCTTTCCCTCTACTTCTAGTTTCTTCGAGCAAAAACTTTTTGGCCTCAATCCTTGCCTCCTTCCTCCATTTTGGCGCACACTTGAACTCCATCTCAGGAATCAGTTTTACATCAACTTGATTGAATGATCAAAATTTCAGAGGTTATTTCTTTTCAATGTCCCTGCTCGTTATCTGCATGTGAAGTCTCTGATTAGCCATATCAATGTTAAAGTCTCTAATCAGCTCCATGGCATGGCATTCTTCAACCACAACAGATTTTCCAATTCCCCTGATTCAGATCAAATTACCGAAAACCAAATTCTCCACCAAGAATCTCCCAAAATGGGCAAAAGGTACAACTGACATCATCCAATGGAACCCAAAAAAAAATAAAAAAAATCTTGTTTTTTTTGATAAATCAAAAACAGTAAACAGAAACAGAGCATCCAAGAACGCAGAGAAGTATCCAGCAGACGCATAGAGATGCAGGTGGGGGGGAAATTAGGGCACAGGAGAAGTAATGAAAGAAACGATCTTTCTTTTCCCTCCTTTGACTCATCCCCAGGGTATAGTATATAGCAAATCTGATATTAGAAAACAAGGTTGTAGTGATCACCATTTCAGTTGTCAAATCAGGTTTTAAGAAATGGTAACAAATATTAGTCAGAATTTTGTGTAAATGTTTGGATAAGATCCCAATAGTGGGATCTTGGAAGCACACAACACAGGGAGGCACCGATGCGCTATTGTGTAAATGTTTCCACAATTGCCTTTCTTCAGATGCACTAATGAGTTGATAATCAACTCACCGTGATTGCGTTATTTTTGTTTGAAGAGACACTTTATCTTAATTGTATAGTTCCTATAATTCCTTACTGTATAGGTGTTCAGAAGATATTTGTGTAAATTAGTTGCTACATCTTTTTAAGGAATACAAATACTACATTACTTTTTCTCAAAAAAAAAAAAGGTCCATCAAAATATGTCAGACCTCATGGGGAGATGTTAAAACTCTGGAACACGGCAAAAACTCTGCACACATGGCATCCGGCCACACATCAGGAATATCTCCCGTACATGTATGTTAAATTCACGGGGAGATATTCCCAATGTGCGGCTGGATCGCTGTTCTTTCAGAATGTGCACAGAGTTTTTGCTTTCAGGGGATCCCGTCTGCAATTTTACCATTCTGCTTCAGATTACCATTGCTATGTAACATTTTCCAAGATAACGAACAAATGTGACTTTTCACATGCATTTCTTTTTTCAGGTTCTATCGGGATCAGTCTTACCAGAAGAGAGCGGATATGGAGATGTTTGTTCCTCTCATTTGGTTGATGTCAGGAGAATAGAAAGCAAAAACACCACTGAATCTATTGCTTCGTTCACATCACAAACATCGCGTGCATCATGTAAGCTTGGAGATAGAATTAGAGATTCAGCATTGTAATTATTGGATCCATTAATTTTCGTTTTTTCAGGAAAATTAGCTTCATGTTGTATCATAAGGAAGAAATCAGTTTTTAATCCTTTTTTCCCCTTTTACTTGACAATTTCTCTACCACTGGATAATAACATGGGGGGGAGGGGGGGTGTAATGCTGATTTATCATGTGTATTATTTTGGTGGCAATTCTTTGACCGGAATCACCATCACACCATTCCTTTTCTAATATAACCAGGATTTGCCTGGATTTGCTTAAAAGAACCATAGTTACCCATGTCTACCTGGACTCCCTTTTTAATCTTCTCCAACTTGAACTGACAATTCAATTGCTTTAACTAGGGCATTTTCCAACCTTACCTGGCATGTATTCCCGTTGTAGGTCTCCAACGTCGGGGCCTTTAAATTTGGTGGGAGGGGCTCGAAGAGGATGGCATTTATGAATGCCTTTATTTAGTTGGATGAGGCAGGGCAACTGGTGGAGGCGTCACCTTGAACCTCCTTCACTTGCCGAAGCTGATCTTGAAGGGTGTTAATCTGTGGTTATCTTCGAGGCACTGGTTGATGTATGGCATCGTCGCTTTGGCCTGATCCTGGTTCTCTCTCACGTGGGACGGGCTGGCCCCATTCCTGGAGTGCTCGGATGTTGGCACGTCTTGAGCCTTGAAGGCACAACAATCATTGAAGAGGTCGTGAATGTCAGAAACTGGTGGGGGAGAGGYGTGGCACCGACCTCCTGCCCTTGGAGGGGGACTGTAGTGGCCCTAACACCCATCGTCGTCTCGATTGGTCTCCGTGTGATGGTGTTGACTGTCGAGGTTCTTGTGCTTGGCATGGGACCCCACGGGGTCGGCCCCTTAGTTGGGGAGCCGAGGGATCTTGGAACGGGGTTTGCCAGCTTGTCGATTGCTGTTGTCAGGCTCTGAGGGGTCGACTCTCTCCGAGTCGCCCAAGTGCTAGCTTAGTGGGGTACAGGTGGTTAGCACACTGTGTTGTCTATGGCTTCTGACGGGGTGGCCACCCTATGGGTGGCTTGGTGGCTTTCTACCGGATGCCCTATGTTGTCCAATCGTTGGGCTAGGTTGTCTAGCGTGTTCAGGACTAGCTCAAACTGATCAATTGGGACTAAGTTTCGGACGTTAGGGACGGGGTCTTGCTTGTCGGCCATTTCAGGGAGAGTAGTTGATTAAATTAGGTTTGCTTTTTTTTTTTTTTTTCATAAGGGAAAGTTTTGAAGACGTTTCTACAAACGACATCAATTGTTGCTGCCAAATATGAAATCGAGGGCAACAACGTAATTTCTAGCATTTGAGGCCGACGGGTCTAACTTGTTGAGAGAAAGAAGATGTTAGAGGCATCGGGAGTTATCCTAGGGGTGAAGGCTTTAACGGTCAAGTTAGTAGAGGGCTCTAAGGGGTCGAACCAAGCAAGAGAGGAGACTTAGAGCTTGAGTTCCGATGTGTGTTTACCTTAATGTGGGAGCCCCTTTTTATAATCAGAGTTGCTTGAGAGGAGTAGTTGGGAGCAAGTGGCGGTGGTTGGTAGTGGTTAGTGATGGGTGGTTAGGATGCGTTTGGTCGACACCATGTGTTAGGGTCCATAGGATGGTTGGGATGCATCCAACCGATGCCACATGCCAAGATTCAGCCAGACCCCTATATCAAAAACATATTTTTGTGACCAAATAGACAATGAGAGAATAACATGCTACATAAATATGCTGCTAGTGTGACATTAAGATGATATTAAGAGCTTGCTCAATGTAACATGGGTAAGTGTTTCCCATGAAAGACTTGCCCAGCTAAGTACATTTACACATGTTCTTTTGTTTCTCATGTAAATAAGGCAATGACCAATTTAGCCATAAAGGTCTATTATTAAAAGGGACATTTTCGTCCCATTCAAGTGTTGGCAACTTTTCCCCTAAGTTGGAAAGTTATTTATCCACCTGGGAGTAAACTTTCCCGGGTTCCCACATAAATCTGATAAAATAACATGGGTTTCTTGGTTTTATCAATTTTCCCCCATCTCAAAATCTAAAAAAAGAACACCCCCGATAGAATGGGAAAAAATAACAAGGATGCCCTTTTATGGGGTTTTGGACGTTTGAATTTGATACCAAACAAGTTTTCTTTGCATCTCAAAAGAGTTTATGTACAAGATTATGTACGAATCGGCACTCCCATGTGAATTTTGATGAATACAAGAAATCTATAAATGTATTTTTACTTTTATGTTTATTTTATTTAATTAAGCATTTAGTTATTTGGGTTTGGACAACATGATTGTAAAAGGCTTAATTTTCATATATATATATATATATATACATTCATTTATTTTAGATTTTAATATTTCACATATACTATTTTTGTTACTTAATAAAAAATAAAGTTAATGCAGAAAGTTTCTTGCACCATCCTTTGGTTTCATTAGAAGTTAGAATAAAAAAGAAATGTATTTCATTATAAAATTTTAACTTGATTTATATTTTTTATATATTTTTTTGGTATTTGATGATACAAACCACACTAATAACCAACCTCCGATTCGAATCCGCATCTATATTGGAACAAACCAACTAACATATCAATACAAATTTTTTTTTATTGAATCATTGCCTTTGCCTCCATAGGGGCTGTATTTCATTTTCTTTTCTTGGCATTGTACAATACTTTTTTTAGCAATAATCTAACAAATCTTCTCAAAGGTATGGTGGTGGGGCTCGAAACCGCATCACTTTTGGGACTATCCTATGCATCAACTGAGCCACTACTCATTTTTTTTTTTTTTCAAATATCTTTTCTTATACTAGTTCTAGTTCTTTTTTATCCCAACTTTACTAGTTCCAGTTCTAGTTCAAGAATTAAACATACCAAACCAGTGTAGATGGTGCAACATGGACTTATGCATGGCTAAAAACAGATTGTATCAGATTGAATATTGAATATAAGTAGATCCAAATTTGATTAGGATCGGATCTTATCCATTTGATTTGTGTAAGGTTGGAACGAATGCATATTAAAATTGGACATTGAATATTATTAATAAATTAAAATAAAAATCATCAAAGTATATCATTAATAAATAAATAAATTAAAATTGACTTTTATATTGTTTTTTCATCAACAAATGTATTGAAAGAGGACTTCTATGCAACTTGAACATATGACAATTTAGTAAAAACACGATACTAAAACTATCTCGGTACAATATAAATTTTAAATATATGAATATTATATATTTAAATCAAATTGAATTGAATTTTATTGAAAGAGTAGATCTATATTCTATACTTTGATTTAATTATAAATGAATCGAATTTGGATCACAAAAAACATGATACCGGAAAAATTTATAACCAATAAACCCGCATCTTTTAGTGGCAACCAATCACTGGGGATTTTATCAAAATTCCACCAATCAATGGGGTTTTTATCAAAATTCATATGGGGGTTTTGATTGGTCAAAAATCTTTTCCGGTATTAGGTCTTTCGGGCATCATAGAGCTTTCCTTTGAAGCCAGATTTGCAGGAGATAATGTTTTTCCGGTATCATAGCCGGGAGCACTTTCATGGTTTCAACTAATTGGAAAAGTAGACTGGTAGAGTGCCTTTGAGAAATGGCGCGACTCGCCTCCGGCCCTCATCTCCGATAACATGGTTCATATCGGGAGTTTTTGATAAAAACGAAGGATAAATCTGTCTTATTAACTGTTTATTTAATTATTTATTGGACAGAAAATGTTTATTTATTTTTCCCGCTATGAATTGAAAACTTTTGTCCTCACACGTTATTCGTCAGTACAGTTTATTTGGCGAAAATGCCCCTCATGAAGACAATCTGCTGTGTCCTCTTCTCCAGTACTCACCAGTCACAAACTACTGCCACATAGAACTCCAAGCAGAGCTTCATCCACACCAGAAAATTAGGGTTTATTAGAAATTAATTATTTTCTTATTATTTTTCCCGTAAGTTTGCAATGAACTGTCCTGAAAACCGTCAATCATGTCAGAATTTGTGTAAAGTTTCTCTGTCGATCTGTTTGTAATCCGTTTCTGTGGAAATTCTTTAACTTATTCATGGCTTGGGGTTTGGACTTGAGTCCTTTTGTTGGTTTTCGTTCGGGACTTCCATTTCCTCGTTCTTCCTTGTCTTCTTCTACTTCCATTTCTGTATTTCGATGGCCAGACAGTGGCTCCCGTCGTCGGAGCGAGGGCCGGAAGTCTAATTCCGGCAGTTGCAAAGCGATGGTTGAACAGACATTACAGGGAGCTTCTGCCATGTATGCGAAAGAGATGGAAAGGCTCTCTGCTAAGGAATCGCTACTTCTTGCTGTAAGCTCTCTCTCTCTCTCTCTCTCTCTCTTCTCATTTCGGTTTGGGAATTTACGTTGGAGTTTATAAATGCTTATGACGTGTTGTGGATTGCTCTTCTGTGCACGGTGTAATTATTATAAAGAACTGATTGATTTTCTGCTAACGTATTGCTTCAGTAAATAGGATTTTTACCTACCATATTGAAAGAGTTGTAGCAGTAGGACACTTACCAAAAATGAAAGAATTGTAGCAGTAGGACCATGAGAATTGCAGAAAGATCTAGCTTAATCATGTACATTGTTAGCCTTTTAGATGATTTGTGCTAGGTTTGTTTTGGTGTTGGTTTAAATATGCCAATTCTTTTTATTTTACTTATGTAATTAGATATTTATCTTTAGTTAATTAAGCACGTTTGTTAGATTATATGAACATGATTTAGTATAACGCTCACTGATCCCCCAGCTCAAATATCTTCGTTCTTCTTTTAACCTTGTAATTAGTTGTCCTTGAATCACACTTTCAGTTTAAAGACTCTGGGGGCCTTGAATCCCTGGTCTCCGGAAAGGTGACAGATATGCAGCGGATTGATGTGAATGAGAGGATCACTGGTCTTGAGCGTCTTAATCCAACACCCCGACCTACAACGTATGCTTTTTCCACTTGTTAATGAATTATATAGATGTTGATCGTGTCCTCTTTTTATTATTTAGTTTTCCATAAGATGTTGAGTTTCATCTAGGTCCCCCTTTCTGGAAGGAAGATGGAACTTTGAATGGCTTGGGGCTGGTAGCCCAGGAATATTTGCTGCAAAATTTATTTTTGAGTGAGTACTTCTTTGGATGGTCCAATTTGTCAAATATGAAATTATTTAATGCTTTGGATTTAATGATAACTGGTTCAGGATTTCACATGAGTTCTGTTGAGCTAGTGAAACTAACGGTGTCAGTGCAACCTTGGTTTCTTTCAGGAGATTTCCCTCAACTATAGCAGATTTATTAGGTATGGATGTGTTTATCAAAGATGGCTATTCAAAGACTACAGCAAACATGAAGCTCTTGAACTCGGTACTTTGGTCTTAGCATATATTTTTATCTCTTTAAGGCCAATCACTTTGTTGCATGCTTGTATACTTTATTTTTATATTCTAGAGTATCCTGATTATAACCCATTTACACCTCTGATTCTATTGTTGTCATGCAGATAGACAGCAAATTCATTCTGACGACCAAGTTATCTGTAGAAGGACCACTTCGAATGAAAGAAGAATATATTGATGGAGTTCTTGAAACACCCAAGGTTAGTGAAGAGGCGGTGCCAGAACAGCTAAAAGGTGCATTTAGCCAAGTAGTCAGCACAATGCAGCAACTTCCTGTTCCTATAAAGGATTTAGTGGCTAATGGGCTGAAAGTTCCACTGAGTAAGTGTTTCAATGCCTTTTCAACCATTATTTCTTATTATACAGACCAAGCCTCTTGGTGCTCTAAACATGGGCTATCTTTCCAGATATAGGATGCAATATAATTTCTTGTGGTTGGGATGCTGGAAAGAAAAGTGTAAAGTAAAGTAACATGTCTATGTTGTTGTTCTCTTTGTTTCTGTCTGTATGTGTGTATACTCCTGCTGCGAGAAAATTTTCAAGAATCTTACTATGTTTGAAAATCTGTGGGTTAATCTTGTGAAAACTACTACCCATTTATTTCTGTAGTGCCATTTTCAGAATCTGTGTATGATTTTTTTTGATAAGTAAAAGGAAAATTTCATTGAAAGGAAAGAGAAAATTACAAACTGAGTAGGTGTTAAGGCAATGCCTAGAATCAACTCAAACAAAAACAAAAATAAGAACAAAACTAATCATCACTAATTGTCCAAATTACAATTTTGTAATCCCAACAGCTCCCATAGACTATCCCCAAGGTCTTCTTTCTTGATTTGTGCAAATTCAGGCGCCACCAAAACCTGTTGTTAGGACTGCTGTTAGACTGTTATTAGAGTGTTATTATTATTATTATTATTATTATTATTATTATTATTATTATCTTTCCTTTGTTAATTTGTAATCAGGGGTACTATTTTAATTTTCTCTATTCTTAAACACCCTAAAAGTCAGTGAGTGTGCCGCCACTGACACTTTTTGGAAAATACTCTCTCTTTTCTCTGCTATTTCATCTTCTCTCTTCTCTTTACATCTAGATGGTATCAGAGCAGGATTGATAGAAGTTGAAGCTCGGATCTACCTTTCTTCCTTTTCTCTCACTCGGATTCTCTCTAGAATCAACTGGAGATTTCCTAATATGAAAGAGATGTGATTGAGTAAGTGTTTTCTGCTATTTTTTCCCTTTTGGTCATAGAACCAAAAGGGTTATTGTTTTGGGTCGTTATTCTCTTTGTATGATGAGCTTTTAAGTTCGTGGAGGAGTTTCCTCAGTGTTTTACTGGAGATCTGTGTTGTGGTGTGTTTGGTGCTTGAGAAGTGTTCTTTCCCTTTGAACACCAGTTGTTTGGCAGTATACAAACTGTGAGGGTTGGCTGGAGGTGTTATCTCTTTCCTTTTTTGGACTGGTGGTGATTGAAGGTGTTTCTACTGCTGCTTCTGTGTCTTCCATCCAGTAATAGGTGCTGTTATCAGATAGAACCGGTCTGGGCTTGTTATTGCTTGTGCTGTTTACTCTTTCTGGTGCAAGTTACAAGTGCAATCACTAATTATTTTGTGTAAGTGTCTAAGGGACAATGTCTATTGAAGATTCAGCCATTTCAGAAGTTACCGGAAGGCAAAATATGGCCAGTTCAGGTGCTGAAAGTTGGGGTTTCCCTGTTGCTATCATTGTTCTTGATGGATTGAATTATTAGGAGTGGTCAAAAAGTGTAAAATTATATGTGGGCTCAAGAGGTAAGCTTGGGTATTTGTTTGGTGATGTTCTTCAACCTAAGGGAGCTGGTACAACTCGTTATAAGTGGGACCAGGACAATTACATGATTATGTCTTGGGTAGTGACCTCTATTCACCCTAGTATGAGGAAGAACTTCATGTGGGCTGATACAGCAAAGGAGATTTGGGATCAAGCCAAGGCTACTTTTTCCAAGCAAAGGAACTTTGTTTGTATTTATTAACTTCAAGTAGAGTCATCCACTTATAAATTGGGGGAGAAAAATCTGTCATCATATTATTCTTCCCTCACCTCGACGTGGAAGGAGCTTGATTATTATCAAACTGTTGACTGGAAAAATGAATCAGATGCAAAGGAGTATAGAAAACTTGTAAATCAGCAACAGCTGTTTGCTTTCTTGGCTCATCTTAATCCTAGCTATGAGCCCATTTGTGCTCAGATATTAGGTAATAAGGAGCCCCCATCAATTCAGGAAGTATACTCTCTGGTTCAGTCTGAAGAGGGTAGGAGGGTAGCCATGAATCCTCCAGAGGGAGAGCAGCAGGTTGCTCTCTTGGCCAAAGGGAATGGTGGAAATAAGAAGGATAGTGATGTTATGAAGAAGACTGAGGCTGTTGATAAAGATAGCTTGAGATGTTCTCATTGTGGTAGATCCCAACATACCAAAGAAACATGTTGGGATCTTGTGGGCAAGCCGAAGAACTTCCAGTCCTTCCAGAAGATGTAACCACAACAGTATAGGAAGAAATTTAGTTCAGCCAATGTAATTTCTGGTGGCTCATCTCAGGAGAGTATCTCCACAGGTTCTAACTCTAAGGAGTGAATGCTACATACCTTACGTGGTTAGTTAGAAGAGTATGGTAGAACTCTCTGGGAACTTGAAGAGTCCTTTGTCGCTCCTTCTACCTCACATGTGTCCATTTTAGGTAACCAGGTCTTTGCATCCCATGTGTCTACTTCATCTTCCAACCCTTGGATCATTGATTATAGGGTAACCAACCACATGACTGGTAAGCCAAGTTTATTTTCAGCATATCGTTTACTTTCTGGTAAGGTAAACACCTTCAAACAAAAAACATACAAGAAATAACATCAAAAGAAACTATCAATATTACAATATTGAAACTCTGGCACTTCCTAAAGCCTCTCCCCTAAATCTTCTTTCTTGTGCAAATTCTAGAATCACCAACACCCACTTTGGGGCAGATTTGCCAATGTCTGCCACCAATTTCCAAAGTCCAAGTCTTATCTTTGAATAATCTTCTATTCCTTTCCTTCCAGATGCACCAATATAGAACAAAACGGGATGCAGCTCCAAAGCAACCTTGCCTTCTTACTGTTTTTTATTTTTGGCCAAGAAAAATATCTGAAGGAGAACTTGGGTGAAAAATTCCCACACTGAATAAAACTGAAAACAATTTCCAAATGAAACAAGTCACCTTGCAGAAAATAAACAAATGGCTAATATATTCCTCTTGTTCTTTGCATAAGTAATAAATACTAGCCAAAAATAAAAAAAAAGTAATAAATACTAGCCATGAAAAAACCTCTGATCTTCAGGGTGATAATTATTATTGGTAAGATAAGGAACTATTCACATCAATGAGCAATAAATTATATTTTTGACTAAAAGAGGATAATACTCATAGTGGTCATGTGAACTAGGGATGATCATTTTTAGTCTGGCCTGGAAATTCCTGACTCGGGCCTAGGTTTTATGTTTAGGCCTGGCCTGAGCCCAGCCTATATCAGGCTGGAAACTTTCTAGGTTGGGCTTGGGCCTAATACTCCAAACCTGCTATAGAGTCAAGGACTTTAGACTAATCAGCTTGATCTCAAGTCCCTACAAAATCATTGCTAAAGTGCTCTCTAGAAGATTAAGGTCGATCTTGCATGATGTTGTGGGCCCACCCCATGGTTTTTGTCAAAGGCAGGCAAAAATTCTTGATGGGGTGATGATTGCAAGTGAATGTGTTGAGTCTGTTGACTCAAGGGTGAAAAGTGGACAACAAGATTTAGTTTGCAAGCTTGATATTGAGAAAGCTTATGATCATGTGGATTGGAGTTTTCTGGAGGATATCTTGGCAAATATGGGATTTGGGGAAAGGTGGAGACCTGTAGCCACCTTTGTTGTTTGTCTTGATGGCAGAAGTCCTAAGCCATTTACTATGTAAAGGAGCAGAAGCTTGGATGTTTGAAGGGTTTAAAGCAAGAGGAAATGGAATTTCCATTACTCATCTTCAGTTTGCAGATGATACATTGATATTCCTGCATGCATCAATTGTGCTAGTGCTGAATTTAAGAGTGATCCTTAGATTTTATGAGATGTTGGCATGACAAAAGGTCAATCTGATGAAGAGTGTGATGATTGCGGTGGGTGATATACCGGATTCTCTTTTGTAGGATTGTGCAACAACTTGGGTTGCTTGGTGGGGGATTTCTCTTTTACGTATTTGGGCCTCCCTATTGGGGCAAAAGCTTCTGTCTCCTCAACTTGGCAACTGGTTCTTGACAGGATTGATAAAAAACTAGCAAGTTGGAAGGGAAGGTATTATCTCTTGGTGGAAGGATTACTCTTATTAAGAGTGTGCTGTTCAATCTCTCAGTTTATTACCTTTCACTTTTAAAGGCTCCTGCTACTGTGATAAATTCAATTGAAAAATTGCAAAAGGAGTTCTTATGGGGAGTTAAAGGGATTGAGAAGAAATTCCACTTAGTTAAGTGGGATAAGGTCTGCAAGGAAAAGAAAGATGGGGGATTAGGGATAAGAAGATTGAAGATCTTCAATAAAACTCTTTTAGGAAAATGGTTGTGGAGATTTGGGTTGGAGAGGGAGGTGCTTTAGAGAAGGGTGGTGGCTTGCAAATATGGGGTTATTGGATTTAGGTGAGATTCCAGAGAAGTGAAGACATCCTATGAAGTGTGTGGAAAGGGATTATGTGTTTCCAGTCAGCTTCAGGAGATCAATCAAGGTAGAGTAGTATGGTGTCCAAAATTTAGGAGATCTCTCTTTGATTGGGAAATTGAAGAGTGTGTGGATCTTCTGGCAAAACTATAGTCAACTGAACATCAGGTGGAAAGGAAAGATTCAAGATGGTAGAAAGAATCTAGAAATGGCCTATTCTCAGTCAAATCCTCCCACAAGTCTTGGTCAAGGTCAAATGGAGAAAATTCAGAATTGAAAGGCATCTGGGGAAACCTTTCCCCCCAAGGGTGGAAGCTTTTGCTTGACTAGTGGTGTTGGATAGCATTTTGACCCTAAACCATCTTCGAAATAGAGGTTTTCACTTAGCAAGCAGATGCTATCTTTGTGAGAATGCAGAGGAGAATGTCTTTCATTTGCTTGTTGAGTGCCTTTTCTCCAAGTTCATTTGGAGTTTCTTCTTTAGGCAGGTGGTCTCCTAATTCTGTGGAGAAGATTTCTCCAAATGACCAAAGATAAAAGGAAATTTCAAGGCAAAGATCGCCTGGAACTGCATTCCTTTTGCAGTTTGCTGGAAACTATGGAAAGAAAGAAATAGAAGAATATTTG